GCGCGGCGAGCCGCGGCCGCTCCGCCCCGGGGACTTACCGGCCACCGGCGGGACGTGGCGCTCCTGAGGGCGCTGGGGGATCGTGCCGCAGACGTACACTTGCATAATAGTCTCTCCTGCCCTGTTGTTTGTTCTTGCAGGCTCCGGAATCATGCGGTTGTCCTAAGAAATCCTCATCCTCTTTGAGCGTTCTCAGCGAAATGAACTGATCCCTAACAACCAAAAAAAAAAAAAAAAAAAAAATCAACATCTGCCTGCAAATCAGCTGGACAGATTACAGGTAATTCCTGTAATTTGCATTATTTGCTTGTAATTTGCATTATTTGCTTTGAAAAGCTGGTTTTGATTGTTGTGGATTTGTCCTAAACCAAGTTACGGGAAGAGAGAAGAGCTGGTAAAAATTTCACAACTCTAATAAGTCCAAATAATAATTTCAAACTCCAGCCAGACACCTAGCCACTTCTCTTCTCGCCTGCTCCGTGCGACCATGCCGGCACGCGGGGGAAATCCGCAGGAGTTAGGCTGCGATGTACCCGTTTGCTTTCTTGATGCAATCGGAGCAACATAAAGCGGCTGAAACAGCCCAGTTCTGCCCCCGTTTTCCAAAGCAAACACCCGCCTCCCATCCCGCCCCCAACACCCAGGCTGCAGGATATTAAGAATGAAAATTCATACGAGTTGTGTCGCATTGATTTCAATTACACTCTCCCATCAGTTCTGGTGGGTTGTTAAATCATTATAAAATTGCAAAGCTTGGAAGAACTTTGTGGTGCCTTACAGCGCTGCGTAACGGAGGTGTTACGGACAGATTTCCGAAAGGGAACTCCGCAGGTAACGCTGGCCTTTGGATGGAGCCCTCGGCGATTCTGAGCAAGGCCGCTGTGAGTCCTGTGGGGTTTACAGGATCGGCACAAATACAGGCTTCAAGCTCTTTAAAAAAGCGTAATTTAATTAAAAATTTAATTAATTTCATGCACTTAGGATGTTCAAAATGATTGAGAAATTGGGAAATAGCTGAAAATTGGTCTGTGAAATTCAGTAAAGATGAGATACAAAGTCACATCTAGAAAGGACAAAAACCCAACAAAATGAGCAGAAACTGGTTCAAAGATCAAACAGTAAGATTTAGGTTAGATCTGAGGGACTTTTTTTTTCCCCCAACATGTCAGTAGAATTCCTAAGGGAATACCCACTGCTGGAGGCACGCAGGAGGTGGAGTGCATCAGGGATGGTTTCAGTGCCTTTGACCCTGTCACGGCACAGAGGGGACCACGATAACTCTCGAGCTGCCGCCCAGGCCCGTGTCCTCTGCCTCCAGCCATGAACAGCACGGCAAAGGCTCCTACCGCAGCGCCGCGCGCCTGGACCGCGTCCCAGCACCACGACACCCCACAGGGCTGGGCACCGGCCCGCGCGGCACCTGGCGTCCCTCACGCCCAGCTGCCCACCGGTGCGGTGTTGCTCTGTGGCGTTATTCCCCGGTGGTGGGGCCTCCTCGCCCGTTGGGCCCCTCAGTGGCCGCACACGCGATGACATAGAATCATGGAATTGTTGAGGTTAGAAAAGACTTTTAAGATCATCAAGTCCAGCCGTTTAACCCAGCACTGCCAAGCCCACCACTAAACCATGTGCTAAGCACCACATCTCCCCAGCTTTTAAATACCCCCAGGGATGGGGACTCAGCCCCTGCCCTGGGCAGCCTGGGCCAGTGCTTGACAACGCTTTCAGTGAAGGAATTTTTCCTAATATCCAACCTAACCCTCCCCTGGCGCAGCTTGAGGCCGTTTCCTCTCGTCCCATCGCTTGTTCCTGGGGAG